TCATAGTCCTGCTCTATGTTTCAAATCCTGGGAGGCTTGGCTTAGAGGTCTGAGGATGGGGCTGGACTGCAGAGAAGTGCTCTGGCAGACAGCTTCCACCAGTATTGCTTGGCTAACCATATACCTCTGCAACAAACCATGGCAGATGTGATCCTGGTCTCCCATTCCTGAGCCAAGGTTCATGGGAGATGGAGAGAAGCTGGAAATGTGCAGGATTAAAAGAACTGGTACCACCAAATAATGCCTATTGAGCTAAGCAAGGAGGGTCCCTCTTGTGAATCAGGAGCTCAGTGAAGGAGGTGTGTTTGTTATCGCTTCTCTGCACTGCAGACTCTTGACTTGCTTCTGCCCTGTCTGGCAGGATTTGGTGCAATTTTCTGGCACTATGTTTGGTGTTACATCCAGATCTTGGCAGGGCCTTTTTCAGGTGTACCAACAAATCTTGGCATCTCCCTCTGGAAGTGATGCAGTAGAATGAGAGTGAGAGGGTTTTTTTGTGGCTTAGACTCTTGCTACAGCCTCTGCCTGCTGCACAGCTCTTCTGCATTGATCCCATCGACTTTGTACTTGGATGCTGATATTCTTCTGTTGCTCCCTGCCTTCCTAAGCAAGCTCTGCTGGGAACTGAGTGCTCACCTGGTCCCTTCCTTGCTAGGCTCATGATCCCTGCATGGTCCAAACAGGGCTTCTGCAGGATACAAGTGCATCTGACAGCAAGTCCCGGGCAGGTGATGACAGTGTCTCACCAAAGGCCTCCCAAAGACAGCCAGTGGTGTCTTTCATCACTGAGGCAGGTGGTGAGTGTTTCACAGATACGTGGTTCTTGGTGGGACGTGTTCCAGAGGTAGTGGTATCTCTGTGTTGACAGATGAATGTTCAACTATGGAAGTACAAGTAAAATTGACCCGTGTGTGTGTATTTAAAGAAGAGTGAACATCATTAATCTCCTGTAAAACTATACTGTGTTTTTTAAAAGGTTTCGCATTGCTGGTAACATTAGGAACCCCAATGTATTTCAGTTTAAGGTAACTCCAGACACTTTCCCCTTCTGAAAGTACTGTTTAGCTTTTCCAACCTGTGAGTTTCTGAACAATTTGTATAAAATTACGTCAGAAGTTTTCCTGCTTGTGCAGAAAAACCTTTTCCCTGTTTATTTAGATCGTGTTGCTTTTTGTGTTGTTGACTGCTGCTGTGAAGTTCACAAGGAGTGAAGATCTGCAATGGTCAGGGCTGTGCTCCGTGTAGAGCTCAGTGGTGTGTGAGTAGCTGAAATGATTCCTTCTAGTATGTGTGTTACCTTTCATAAATCTGTTTGCCCTGCTCAGCTAAGGCTGGCTGACTTCCAGATACTCCAGCTCCATTGAAGTCTTGTGAATAAAACACCAGCAGCCCAGCCTCCTGCATACATAGATTTGCAAAGAGCTTTGCAGACAATCCTTTTTGTTAGGAATCCCTCAGTTTGGCTGTGTTTTCAGCACGGGGATTTCCAGTTGTTACCAGTGCCAGTAACTCAAGGTTTTCACATTTTTTTGCAGGACAGGCTGTAGCTCTAAGACTTGCATGCTTGTAAATCTAATGTCTTAAAGACATTAAAATGTCACTGTTGCTTTCTGGATTAGAATTTACCCCTTTAAAGGGTAGTTAGACAGGGTCAATACCCAAAAATTTGATCCAGGGTAATATGATGTGGACCTGAGTATGCTTGGGCAGTGGAGCTCTCTGCCTAAGTGCTTCAGTGCAGTTATTTGTATCCTGGGATCTCTAATGGAATTGGTCATACTGCAGTATTTTGTGATTGCTCAGACAGTGTTTTGCTGTCTGGTGCTGTCCCTGGTTATAGTAGAAGAATGAGAAGAGCTTACCCTCCATGCTGAAACTGATAGCAAACCTTCCCCCACAGACCTCTATAAACCCAGAAAGAAACCTTGCAGAAATGCTGGTGATTGATTTTTTTATGATTTCTCTGTAACAGGGGATATTGCTTTCTTCAGGGTCAGCTATCGGGCACGGGAGCCCTGAGCACAGGTCAGAGGCTCTGCCGCGGCTGTCAGTTTTCACTTGTCAGCATCAGCATGTTCCTTCTAGTTCCAGCTCTGCTAGTAATGAGCATGCAGGCTGGCAGTTCAGTTCTAAATGAACCATGATTTTTATCAGAAATAGCTTTGCTCTTCAAGACTAGAAGGCTTTCATGATCCCTTCCCGGATTTCCTGCTTAACTGTGTGATGGGAAGATAGTGCAGTGTTGTGCCAGCCTTGGGAGGTTCTGTGGCCTCTTTGAAGTGCTGTGGGTGACCTGGGTGCTGAGTGATCTCCTGGCTGATAACACCCTTGGAGAGCTGGGATCTGCAGCTGCCAGGAGGGACAGGCAGCAAGGTCCTGCCAGTCCAGCAGCTCTGACCCAGCTCAGTGCTGCTGCAGCCTCTTAGCACAGTGACTATGGAAATTGCTTCACATCTCCATGGTCTCGATTTCCCCTTTGGAGAGCACACAAACAAAGCTGTGTTTCACCTCTTCAGGGCACTGAAGGAGTTGGAAGTAAATTTCATTTTTCCTGACAGCAGTTTTGTCTGTCCCAGAAAGTTTGACAAGGGACTTTATCCCGACATGTCCCCAGCTTCTCTGCTGTGAAGTGGTTGTTTATTCTTCCCGAATCCTTTTAGTGATAGAAGATGTAATCAAGAGGCAGCTGAGACCCCATTACATAACTGTTGTCAGCGTTTTTCTTTGGCAGCATTGCCTTGTGTGTTGTTTGCACACTGACTTTTAGGAACTCCTGGCTTTTCTGTTAACCAGATGATTCCTGAACCTGATCTGGGTAGGTGGTTTGTTGTTGTTGGGTTATTTTTAAACACCTTCTAATTTTGTCTGATTTGAGATTTCTAAACTTCAGAGGAGATTTTACTGCTTTTATTGTGAGGTTGGTACAGTGTTGACATGGTGTGGATAGGCCCTGAGCCAGGCTCCCTCTGCAAGGCTCAGTATACCTGTAAGAGCAGGTGGCTGTGCTCTTGCCAGCACATCACCCTCCACTCTTTGTTCTGCTCTGGGGCTCCCAGAGCTCTGCCCCTTCAAAAAGCTCATTGTTCTCAGTCCAGCTTGTGCTTTCCTGCCAAGTGTATGCTAATCAGTGTGTTTTCTCCCTCTCTTTTATGTCTGTCCTACTAATAAAATACAGTGCAAATGGGTGAGGGAGGAGCAGTTGTTTTCTTTGGCACATGGTGGCCATCTGAGCAAAGATGAACCAGACTGGAGCCAAAGATCTGTTTGCTGCTCTGCAAGAAGAGGTGCCTCAAGACTGCTGCAGCCCTGTGTGGTGGTCCAGCAGAAACACTGTGAGGGGCTTCTTGGGGAGCCCGGTGTTTTTCCTGAGCATCCCATTAATGCAGTTGTTGAGTGACAGAAAACACTTTTCTTTCTCTCTCCCTGACCACGTAGCATAGTCCATGGCTTCTTGTTCCTGACAGACCTGGTTTAAATTCTGCAGTGCAGGAAGAAATGCTGTGTAGTGCCAGGCTTATTGGTCAGACACCTGCCCCCAGCAGCAGCCTTTAGATGGGCTTTACTGGGCCAGTTGCAGTTTGCACTGCATTCCCAGTCTGGCTCTGTCCAGCATGTTCACAGTCTGTGCTTTAATTTGTCCATAATATGTGATGAACTAATCCTCTTACCTGCAAATCGTATTTGATAAGGCATTGTTGATGGGAATTGTGGCCTTTGGTCAGATACAGTTTCTTTCAGAAAGAGTGATTGCTGTCTTTGTTGGAAAAGGCTTTCAGCTGGGTGAGTTTCAGAAAGTGTGAGGTGTGGGAGGATCAGAGATGTGTGTATGTATATATATACACACACACACATGTATATAGTGTTTTGTTACTCCCAACACAGAGTTGAAACCCTAGAATGGTTTCACTTTACCCTAACAGATGGTAAAATGAAACTGCCAGCAGTTTTGGGCTTGAAGTAGAGGCTTTACAACAAGAAATCTGGAAATCTAAATTATGTGCGAAAAGGTTAGATGAAGCTCCTAGATTTGATAAAATTTAGAACAGAATGATGCTTTTAAAAAATGTAAGATAGGTCCATTGAAAGTAAGCAGTGTCTTTTCTGACATAAAAGTTGATGTACAGTGTGAGCACTGCATGTTTCAACTTTATCCCAGGCTCCAAGAGCCAAAAAGTCAAAGTAAGGAGACTGCCTGCATGATGAGTGTTACTCACGACATGTTGTGCCAGCAAAGATCAGGTTGAAAAATTAGCAAACCACATCCATTACAGAAAGTATATTTCAAGATGAAAATTATGTTCAAGATGCCAGCAACAGGAATATTATTTTTTGGTAATGTGTTTGGAGAATTCATAGTGGAGCAGCTGAACTCACAGGCTCAAGAATCTGAATCTGGTACAGTTGAGCAGGGTTTTTTCTGACTCCATAACTCTCTTTCATGGCCAGCTGATGAGAAAAAGGGATTTTGAGAAATAGTTTTGTTGTCTTCCAGTGATGCTGTCAAAGCATTAATTGCTGGTATAACTGTGGCCAGTGTGGAACAATAATCTAAACATTAAAAACCCAGTGCTTCAGGGGAAGTGCAATGATAAATTCCAGTGTGGTATAAGATACAAAGATACAGTGCTTTTCTGGCATTTATGTTTAGGAATCCTTGTGTTTAGCTGTTTATTGTCAGCCTTACTCTTTTAAAGCAAGGACTTGTTGACACCCCCCCCCCCTTGTGTTCTCATACTTAAAAGAATGTTACTTCTTTCAGCACTAGAATGTCAGGGAAAAAAAAGCCATAAGAAGTGTGTTCCTGCAGTTCTTTTCATTCAGTTTGTGAATCTTAAAGCCCAAATGCTTATTGTGACTAAAGAGGAGGGAGTTAAAACTTGTATCTTGGTGTGTGCACTCACTTGTATGTTCAGTTCTTGCTGTTGAGTGTTCTGTGTTTTGCTTTTCCATGGCTGAACAATCCATTTGATGGGGTTTCCCTGGTTCTCTTCCATTAAAAGGCAGATCGGGAGCGGCGCAGAGAAATTTCCTTACTAGATGACATTTCATCGCAATGTCCGATCGTTTGGGGCAAATAACCAAGGGAAAGGATGGGAAAAGCAAGTACTCGACTCTCAGCCTGTTTGATAAGTATAAAGGAAAGTCAATAGAAGCTATCAGAACTACAGGTAAGAAACACCTCCAGAAAGCTCCTTTTGATGTCTTCCAACAGTGTTGTTGCAGAGCTTGTTCAGGTTGTTGACCCTGTGTGATACAGCTGGGTTGCACTGTTGGTGCAGGTGTCAAAGGCTGTGTTTTATTAAGACCTAGAGGAAAGTCTCTATGGCTCTTTTATTGTAGAGACATAGAGGAATTACACAGGACAGATGGGGGCTCTTGACCCTTTCATTTAGCCTGCTGCAGAGTGGACAGGTAGCAAACTTGAGTGGAGGCCTTACCAGGGCCTTAGGCTGTGCCAGGGCAGGGCACCTGAGCTGACTGAAGTGCCTTAAGCTGGTCAGACCTTGTGTGAGGTGAGAGTCAAGGACTGAAGGCCACTGGGAAAGAACCTGAGTTGGTTTTGCAGTGGGGATATGACCAAAAGTAGATAGTGGGTTCAAAAAAATTACCTTGCCTGGACTGGCTCTGGTGTGAGAATAGAAAACAAAAGATAAAATACTTTCTTAATAAATGTGGTCTGGTGGATAGAGGTAGAAAATGGAGACCTCAGGATTCCTGGGTTAGGTAACCTGTTTGTCTGCTAAAAGGTGGACTTGGGTGGCCATTTCCCCAAGCTGTAAAAAGGTGGTATTGCTTCTCCTTGGTGAAACGAAAGAGCTACCTGTGCAAATCCTCCTAAAAGACTCTGTGAGCACTTTGTTGGGGAGAATTATTTTTCTCTCTCCCACTGTAGGAGCTGTTTGACAGCTGCATCTGTGGTCCTGTGGGAAACAACCTGTGTGTTGACATAGCAGCAGCACTTCTGCTGGGGCTGTGCCCAGCCACAGCTTCCTAATTAAGGTTACTTATCTAGCAGGATACAGCCCTCTGACCTGCTGCTGTTCCTTTCTCACCAGTTATTCCTAGACATGGCTTACAGAGTCTTGGGAAAGTTGCTGCTGCCCGGCGCATGCCACCTCCTGCAAATTTGCCTAGCTTGAAGTCTGAGAACAAAGGAAACGACCCCAACATCATTATAGTACCCAAGGACGGTACAGGATGGGCAAACAAGCAGGACCAGCCAGACCAAAAGAGGTGGGTAGAGTGAAACTTCAGTGAGTTTTAGCAGGCAGCAGTGGTTATGCACTGCTGTGCCTGGTGTCAGACCTTACAGGGATCAGTTCTCTGTTGTCTGTGCCAATGTAGAGCCAATGTTTTGGCTTGATCTTTTAGCAAGTGCCATATTATTACCAGGAGTTGTTTTCCTGCCTTCCTCCCCTTTGGTCTCACCTCTGCTGTCTCTGCTCAGTTCCAGTGCGACGGCTGCACAGCTGCAGGAGTCGCTGCCGCAGCAGGGTTTGCAGAAATCTGTCTCCAATTTACAGAAGCCGACACAGTCAATCAGTCAGGAGGTAGGTGCCAGCAGTCTCTGACTGCCCCCCTGCTTCCCCTGTCCCCAGGCAGCTTGAGGACTTTAATTGCCTGTGTTGCCTTGCGCTTAAGAAAAAGCTCCTGTATAATCAGTTATTGTGAAAGTGACTCTCTTGCGTCCGAGCTGCTGTGCACCAGGAGCGTTGTGCTGCTGTTACAGAAGTCAAATACACAGAACTATATCTCTCAAATATGTGCAGTAAGTCTAGTTGCAGTCTAGGAAAAAATGGCTGGAATGTGGGATGGCTGGTTAGCACTTGTAAACTCCTACTTCAGTTGTAATTCAAATGTTGTTTTGTGACAACAAGTCCAGCTCTTGTTCCCAGCCTGATGAGACTTGTTGAGAAGAGATCTGGTCATGTGGGAGAAGTAGCCAGTGTTAGGACCTGAAAAAGCTGCTGGCAACTAAGAAGGTGTCCCAGAGAGTGCAAGGACCTGACCCTGTATGTGTTGTAGATTTTACACTTATGGTTTAAAAAAAAAAATTCTTAGCCCTTGAGCTTCAGGGAAATCAGGACAGAAGTATGTTTTGAAGAGGAGAAGAGTGGCTAATGCATGAGAAAGTAGGGTAGCCTTCAAGCTGAGGTGTAGCATGGAACACATCTAGCAGATCAAGGAGACCATTTGGGAAAATGCAGCAGAACAAAAGGAGCGCTTGATGAGAGTACAAGTTGAGGAAATAGGTGGTGAAAATGGGCAGAGGATTTTTAATGTAGCATTGTAGTACACTGGAGTGGGGAACAGCTGACTGTAGTCCCAGCTTGAAGCTGTGGAGACCTGTGGTATCTGGGTGATCTGGAGGCCTGAACCATAGCAGGTGCCAGCCAGGAAATGAGAAACAGTCATGTATCTTAACTGATCCATGCTGGGGTTTCTTTTTGCTTTGTTTTGTTTTCAGAGTACAAATTCAGTGCCAGGTGGACCAAAGTCATGGGCACAGCTGAATGGAAAGCCAGCAGGACAAGAAGGTGGTGAGTATGATAAACAGAGCTGGTATGTGCCTGCTTTTCCCAGACAGGCATGAAATGGGGAGTGCTGCATTTCTTCCTGCCCTCCCTGTCAGCCTGGTGCAGAATGGGAGTGAGGCCTTCTGAGTCCTGTTTCCAGTCTGTGTGCTGTGTTGGCTGGAATGATGCAGCTGAATCAGTTCAGGGCTGCCAGTGCAAGATGTGGCTTGAACACAGCCATATCAATCTCATGGCCATATCAAACCAGAGCAAGTCATGCTCTTGGGATGCTGCAGGGAGTTCTTGGAGGGGAAGGTTCTGAAGGAGAAAGGAAGCATTTGCCCCCATCATGAGCATCTTCAGTCAACCCAGAGCAGTGTGTAATAAAGGTGCAGTGAACACTGTGAAATAGGGGAGGGATTGGTTTAGAAGAGAAGAAAGGGAACATTGGAAAGTGGAAATGTATGTATCTCCATGGGCAGTAGCAAGGGGATTTTCACCTAACTGGGTAGTCAGAAGTGAGGCTAGAATGTTCTTGTACAGTGTCTGTGATCCAAGGGAATTGCAGTGTCAGTGGGTGGAAGTGGCTGTGGAGCTGCTGCAGGGTGCACTCGCCTACACATTGGCTGAGGCCTTGCTATTAAGTCTCCCTCAGTAACTGTGCTGCTAATGGCTTCTGCTTGACTGAGAATCCTGAAGCAGTGTTAACGTGAATTGGGAGTTTAGTTGTGTTCAGATGCATCTGTTTCCACACAGGAGGTGGTTTCCAGCTGCACTGAGTAGTGCCATTAAAACCATAGTGAGAATAACAGCTCAGTTCCAGTGTGAACAGACCTGGAACCATTCATTTGTCAAGTGAAATTGCAGAGTTATTTGAAAGAACGGAGACAGCTGCTGGTTGCAGAAACAGAGGGGACAAATTTACCCTAAATTAAACGAGGCCCTTAATGAGAGGGTGTTTCTCAAAGGCTAAATGTTAAAGCAGAAACTTGTACTTGCCTGAGGCTGGTGGCCAGTGCAAAGACTGTCTTGTTTGGTTAATTGGTATTTTTTGACTCTTGCTGTATAGACCTCCTGTACAGTCATTCTGAAATCTGATCATCTAAAATGTTCTTGTAGCATTTTTTGAAAACTCATTCTAGGTCACACTTAACAATATAGAGTTCTCAACCCAAGAAAACAGTTGCCTATGTGGCTAAGAGCAGCTTAATTAGAAGGTAACTGAATCACAGAACCATCAGAAATCTGTCTGAAAGGATTTCTTAGGCCATCCCACGCTTACACCTCCTCTCTAGTGGAACTGAACAATTGCTTTTCCTTCTTAGCTAATTCAGGTATTACAAAGAGGAGAGTCTCTTGCTCTTTGCTCTTTTAAAGTCTCAGAGCTGTAAAATCTCTTCTGGAGGGTGTATCCTGAAGAAATGTGGCCTAATAAATTAATTATGGACTTCTCCATGACTGTGTTTTTGTATAAAGGAGATCTGGAGAAATAAAAGGGGCACCAGATATTTTTTCAATGGGATGCTGCTTAGGGTTAGAGTACAAATTGTTAATGGCTGCACATAAATAGCCCTTACATGGTGCAGCCTTTCCTGGGGGTAGGTATCTCCCCTGAAAGACACTTGCCTCTGCCATTCTAGTTCAGTAAAAATCAGAACTCTTCAGCAAGTGTTAGCTACTTTGCAATAAATTAGGCAGTGTCCTTCTTAAGTATTTTCATCTGTCTAAAATTAAAAGTGTTTTGTGCAGCTGTTGCAAAGTCTTTCATGGAAATTTCACATGGGAGGTCTTGTGCAGTGTGCAAGTTCCAGAAAGTAAAAATTACTTAAGCTAGTCTGTCTTGATTCTTCAGGGCAAGGAAGAAGAAAGACAGATGAGGCTGTTGTCAAGTCTTCAGTACTCATGGCTAATACTTCTAATATAATTCTGAAATGCCCTTTTTAAGAGAGCTTTAGCCAAGTAGCACTAAGAAACAGTTCTCAAAAAAGCAATTATTTTAATGTGTAATAGTACAATATTGCTTGTAATTTCCTTTTATTCATTGTTATCGTGCCAAAAGATTTAGGAGAATTGCTGTGTTTCGTGTTCCAGTCACTGGCAGATCTTTAGAAGTGACAGAGAACTGTTGTTCTGGAGTGACTGATGACTCAGCAAAACAATTTGCCAGTGACTAGAAATGAGCCTGGCCTGATCTGGGCAGTGATCTGCATCTTGAAAATGCTGCAGAAGGGAGGAGAGCATAGCACATCTGTCCTTACCTGTGGTGTTTCACTGATACATTGACAAAAATTTCAACAATCAACTTCCCTGGCAGAGTGAGGTCTGAGCAAAAAAGAGTCTGAATAGAGATGTCAAATACTTGATAGCAGGATATCATTTATGAGTGATCTTGCAGAACTTATATCTCTGCCTCTGTCTGAATTCTGTACTTCTCAAAAATAATTGGAAGCTAAGGAAGTTCACTGACTTTGTTGAATGTGAGAATTTAAATGAAATCCTGAGTGTGGGAGTGCTGGGTGAGGACATGTGTTGTCATGTTGGTGACTGTGTCTGAGAGTGTTGGGGATGTGAAGTGAGGTGCTGGTATGATAGTAATTTGGGTTTAAATATGCCAGAGGCCCAGATTCCCAGGAAACACATTTCCAGACTGATCTCATAAGGGAGTTGCAGCACTGGAAAGAAGCACTCAGAGAAGTCTGAGTCCCACATTATTTGTCTGACAGGTTCAAGGGCCTCAAGCCGACTGTTATCCTTCTCTCCCGAGGAATTTCCGACGCTGAAAGCAGCTGGCGAGCAGGACAAGGTTGGCAAAGAAAAGGGCGCCTTAGATCCGTCGTATGGGCCAGGACCAAGCCTCCGCCCCCAAAGTGAGTGAAGGATTGTCTGTCTGCCTTACCCCAGCTCAGTAACCCCATTGACCCTATTTTGGACAGGGGGTGCCAGTTCACAGTAGTACCAAGAACTCCATCCTTATATTTCCTTTTATCTTTTTATGAGCTTACACATGTCAGACTGCTTAGCAGATGGTCATAGATTGGCATGTAGTGCTGATGTTCTGTGGTCCAGACAGCCAAGTATGGACTGTCATCTACTATACTGTTTAATAAAAATTGCTGATGTTCCAAGCAGTCCCCTTCCCAGGCTGGGGGAGCCACGTGAAATCAGTGTGTGGTGTACTGTGGCTTCTTGTTCTGTGTTTTTGCGTCTAATTGGCCTCAATTCTGCAGGGTAAGGACTGTGGAAATGGATGGGGAACACTCTGGTAGGAGTTCAGGTTTATTGGCAAACAAGGACACCACTGGTGCAGCAATTGCCTAGTAACAGCTGATGTTGCTCCTCTCTTAAGCAAATAAACACAGTTGGAAATTCTTCTTGGTCCTTGATATTTTTCTACAACCTTGGGGTAATTAGGGCTTGACCAGAGTACTTGAGGTTTCGAGACTTTCTGGCAGAGTGGCTGCCTGCATTTACAAATATTAACATAATTATCATCTCCCTTCCAGATGTCACCAGTTGGAGGGAGGGCGGTGGGAGGAACGTCACCTCTGCCACATCTCTGACCGCCTCCCCTGCTGAGCTGGGCAGCAAAACCTCCAGCACTGGAGACGGGGCCCCCTCCTCAGGGAGCACCAACGATCCCAAGGAGCCGTCTCTGCGCCCAGCTCAGCCCGTCCGCAAAGGGGCTTCGCAGTTCATGGGAAACGTCTACCAGCCACCCACCTACCATGACATGCTACCTGCTTTTGTGAGTCCTCCTTTCTCTACACCTTTGTGGTGCCCTTCATTCTTAAGATAAGGGAGGAGTTGAAGTCAGCTGAGATGTGTTTTCTGGACTCTCAGTTGGTTGCCAGGGTTTGCTTAGGGATCCTTCTCTTGGCATGTTTTGAGTTTGTGTAGCACAGCTTTGCTCAGCCTAAAGAGAAGTTGTCCCTTTCCCTCTGGTGCTGGAGAGGGAACCCTTAGCATGTGGCCTGTTGGGCAGCCAGATGTGAGATGTTTATTTCCCCTTTGTGAGGGTGCAGCTACCATGCACATGTTGTAGCCTAATCTGGGTAAACCTTCCTGTGGCAAGGTGAAAAACCAGGCTGTTCTGCTTTGCCTCATTCCAGATGTGTCCACAGCAGCCATCTGAGACCCCTGCACCGCTGGACCGAGGGTCTTTCCCCACTCCTCAGCTTCGGCTTGAGCCCCGGGTACCTTTCAGACAATTCCAGATGAATGACCAGGATGGGTAAGGCTGACATCACTTTCCCACTTGAGAGGCAGGTTCAGGGTGTGACATTAACCTTAAATTAGGCAAGAATTTGGGCCAAGGATGCAGTTGCATGTGTGAAGCTGCAGGCACCAAAGGGGAACCCTGTTTTTTACCCAAAGCAGCAGTGCCTTTCTCCAGCTACCACAGCAGCTAAAATGTTGCAAGACTGTGAGCGTTATGTGTCTGGAGAGCAGACAGACATGGGAACTGGGGTGTGATCCTGGACTGGAGGGGTTTGCAGCTCTGATCTGTAAGTTCTAGGAAGTGGGTACCAGGTAGACAAGGGGAAGAAACTGCTGGAAAGGGAAAGAAACTTGGATGCATTGTATATAAATGCAAAGTAGAAAAGGACTGGTTCAGTCTTACAGACTCAGCTCTGTGTCCTTTGATTTTCTTTTTGCTGTTTCTGACCATTTCTGTGTTTTCAGAAAAGAGAACAGGCTCAGCCTGTCTCGTCCAACACGCCCAGTTCGGCAGCAGATGGAGCGAGTGCCTCGGCCCACCATCATCAATGCAGAGAACCTGAAGGGGCTGGATGAGCTGGACAATGATGCAGATGATGGATGGGCAGGTACAGTGCCTTTGTGCTCTAGCTTTGGGTAGCTGTGAAATTGGTGTAAATGATGACACAATGGATCCTTCTGATCCTTCCATCACACTGTGCTCAAGGAACTGGATCTGAAGACTCCTAAAATCTGAAAACACACCAATCACATCAGGAGGGATAGCACTGTGGGTGCTGGGAAGGAGAGTTAGTCCTGCCTTTTCAGTCATGGCACTCAGTATCCAATTGCACACAGTCTGGCTTGGCTACTGTCTCCTCATTTGCGTCCCCCACTCCCAGGCTGTTTGATGCTCCTCCTCTGGGACCAGCCCAGCTGTTCAGTAGTGTGTGGCCACACTACTCACATAATTTCTTGCCTGGTGTAGTTGAAGTTGTCCCTCCTCTTTGAGGGAGGTTGGTAGATGGCATTAAAGGTCCCTTCCAACCCAAGCTATTCTGTGATTTCCAGGACTAGTGCTGGACATTTGGCTTAGTAGTAGTTCATGCCAAGCTTGTGTGTCCTGTAATTTAGTGCTAAAAGGGGGCATAAGCTTTATCAAGACAAGGGATCTGTTTCTTTCCTCTCATAAATCTATTCTCCCTTGCTGCCTTCGTAGGCATTCATGATGAAGTGGATTACTCTGAGAAACTAAAGTTTAGTGAAGATGAAGAAGAGGAAGAAACTCTTAAAGATGGACGACAGAAGTGGTAAGAAGTCACTCTGTTTGCACCTACAGTTTACCTTTAGTAAAAGTGAGCAATACCATGATCTTTAAAAACTTGTTCTAAACGTGAAGTCTTGATCCCTCTGATTCGTTACTGTGACTTTGTTGATTTTACTGGGCAGTGTTGGAGTGGTCTTCAAGGATATGTGGAGGTCTAGCAGCTGACTGCCATTTTTCCAGTCAACTTTCTCACCTTTATCCTGCTGCACAATAGTGGAGTTGATCCTTATGTACCTTAAGAGAAGCACATCACTTGTTTTGGTAGTTTTTTTGTGATCTTTCCTTTTTACTACAGTCAATTGCCTTTGCCACTTGATTAGGCTCCAAGTGCTTTTTGAAGCAAGTAGCAAATGCAATAATAAAGCTGTTTATGTGACAGGAACAGCTGGGATCCCAGAAGGCAGCGACAGTTGTCCCTGAGCTCTGCAGACAGTGCAGATGCCAAGCACACCTTGGAGGAAGGAAAGAATTGGAATGATTCAGTTGGCTTGTCCCGGCCAGTCCGGAAAGCGCAGGATTCACAGCAGCCTCCGAGGAAGCTGAATGGCTGGAGCTCTGCCTCAGAATACCAGGTAGGTTGAACTCGTGAGGGTGAGCTGGAAGCCCATCACTGTCCTTAAGAGGCCAATTTGACGTTTTATTGGAAATGGGATGCTGATTAATTTCTCTATTCTTAGTTTATATCCACCTGGAGAGAAATCTATCTGCATAGCACTTCCTTTAGGGAAAAGAAATTGAAGCTGGTCCAGAACAGTGGGGTTGTCAGTGAGAAAATACAGTTACTGAATTATATAGCAATAACTCATCCTAGTAACAGGGGGATTTGTGCTTGAGGATAGAGGGGAAGGAGTCAGAAGGGAATATTGTCACCGTGGGATGCAGATCTCAAGATAGAGGCACTGGTGGGTCACACTTATGGGGGAATGTTTTTTCTCTGGCAGAAGCCTGCGCTGGGAAGTGTTCTCAGACAGCAGTCCCTCGAGGATAAAGAAGAAAAGGTGCCTGTGAGACAGAAGTTTGTGCACTCTGAGATCTCTGAGGCTGTCGAGAGAGCCAGGAGGCGACGGGAGGAGGAGGAGCGGCGAGCCAGGGAGGAGCGCCTGGCAGCCTGTGCTGCGAAGCTCAAGCAACTTGATCAGAAATGCAAACTGGCTCAGAAGAGTGGGGAGACACAGAAACACACAGAGAATGAAGATGTGCGACCTCCCAGCACAGAGAAAAACACTGCACAAGAGAATGGCCATGCTTTCCGTAAAGGTACCGAAACACTGCCTGCCTCACCCTGTAAAAATTGCTTTTTTTGCTATTGTGCTGATCTCATAGCTGCAGTGGGGGAGTTCCTAGGAGGGAGTGTTCAGAGGGTCCTTCAGCTGCCCTTGAGAGATCAGCTGCTGCTTGTATTCTGCAGAGTATTTTGCATTGTTGACAAAGGTTGATTAAATAAAAAAAGCTATTAAAACAAATGCGAACTTCTCCAGTTGCTTTTATCTGTGCTCAGTGAGCTGTGCTAGCAGAGGGCTTGTTGGAATGGGCCTCGTGGGCTTCTCATGATTGGATGATAATATTAAGTGCTCGTGGCCATATTTCAGAAAACCAGTAAGTGCTGCCAGGTTTAAGGACTAATGTGGAAAAGGACTTTCTCCCCAGTGCTTAAGCAGAAGGCTGATAGCAAAGGAGGATCTCAGAATTTATCATTAAAATAAGATGGCCAAAACCCTCTATAGTGCTGTCAAGGTAAAGGATGTGCTGTATATGATTGTAGTAAGATTCAGCCATGTATTACAGTCAGGACATGCCCACAGCTGTGTATGTTGTGTGGTGGTGGTGCACTCTCAGTTCTGTCACGAGCACAGTCTTGAGGGCTTGTTTTTTTCTCTGCAGCAACCCCCGAGTTTCACACACAGGATGCCTCTGTTGGCTATCTGGAAGAGGAGAGTCCTGCTCCAGCAGCAGCAGCCCAAAGCAGCAGTGAGGAGGAGCTCAGAGAAGCTCCCTCACCAGCACAAGAATTCAACAAATACCAGAAGTCTCTTCCCCCACGATTCCAGAGGCAGCAGCAACAGCAGCAGGTAAATGGCTCCCAACCCATTTTCTGGACCCTTAATAAACCATTGTGTTTGCTCAGTTCTCAACGCCATCAGTCTTTGAGCTGGGAGGATATAAATGAAGTTTTACCCTGGCCTTTTTCAGTACTTCTAATAATGGAAATATCCTGTCTGATTGGGTAGAAAGGCTCTCTATGGGCTACATGAGTTTTTCTTGTGCCCTGTGATGCTTGAGCTGTTGTGGGTAGAGCTATGTCAGGTTTGTCACTTGCCTGGGAAAAAAATACAGTGCTGTCAGACATGTTGACTTGTCTTGCATGGTTGTCTGGGCATCTCCTGACATTTGGAACTCTTAGGACTGTGTGGTTTGTGGCAGAGCTCTGGTTTGCAAATGTTGATGAGCAGGAGAAGCTGCGGATGTTCCCACATCCAAAACCACGAGTGCATCAGTGGCTGTCTTGGCGCTTGTGTAGGCCTGGCTCAGGGGAGGTTCTGTTCCTTGGGCTAGCCTTGAACCTGATGAACATCTTTTTTCCTCTCTGGCACAAGATGAGCTGCTGTTATTTAGCACTGCTGCAGTGCCTGAATACACAGGACAAGGAAAGGGGAAACCCTTGGGGTTCAGCTGCTTCCATTTCACTCAGCACTTGCTATGTCCTTACCATTGTAGGTATGGGCAGCCATTTGCTTGCCAGGGGCAGTCTGTGCTTAGTTTGGCAAGTTCCTGGACTGCTTCTGGACTTGGAGGGAGTTCTGGAGTGGCACACTTCTCATTCCACCTGTCTTTGCAGAGGGCTGGTCCTTTGCTCTGCTCTCATCCCATACCTACTTGGTTTTTTTCTGTGAGGCTCTTTCAGATCACTGTTTTCTCTGCACCATAAAAATGTTTGGTCTTAAATGTTTCATTTTAGTTGCATTGAAAACTCTTCTGGGGCACTGAGACATGAGCTGAGCTGCTTTGTGCAGCTTGGCTCTTGCCTGACCTTTCAGTGCTGTATGTGCCATACGTGCTGTGCAGCTGTGCCGCCAGATGCAGTGAGCCTCTGTAGGGCAGCAGAGCCGAACCAGGGGACAGAGTATTCAGGCTTCAGATAATGCAAAGTTAATTGCCATTTTTCATAAAATAACCACTTGAAATGGGATATCATCAATGCTGCTGCAGATCTTAGTGAAGAGCTCACAATTGGCTTTTGCTCAGTAATTGCTCTTTTATGGATGCTCCCCGTGCTCATGGCTCGGCAGTTGACATTTTCATGATTCAGATGTACAGCAGCAAATGCTGCCTAATGTTGCTCTTGAAAAGAGATGCTCTTAAACTAAAAAGAATTGGATGTCTTTGCTGTCATGCTAATAATACCACAGGTCATCACTACTGGAAGAACATGAAGTTTTATTTTATTTTCTCATCCTCTGTGATGTTAGTATGTATGAGGCAGTACGTGTTTTGGCTGGCTTGTATTGTGCTTTGGTAGCTCCATGGAAGGAGCAAAATGGAAAAGTATTGGTATTGTAAAGGAAATATTTTCTCCAAGGTACCACAGGACTAGGTAATGTAGAGATAATCTGCATTTATCAGAGTCTTCCTTGCTGTAATAAAGTGTCAGATTCAGATTTAAAGGTGTCTCTTTTGCTCTGCAGTTGGGGATTGGCTTTTTAAATAAACAGTACAATATCTGATACTGTTTCAAGCTTAGCAAAAAAATTTGGTTGCATGTTTGACAAGTAAGTAGATGCATTTGATGTTAATTGGAGCTGTTTAGTGCTCGAAAGCTTTCTTCAGTACACAAACCTCCTTTCAGATATATATTCTTTTTGGACCTTCAGCAAAAGTTAAATGTCAAATTCAATTAACATCATGACAGTCCTCAGCTAAGGGAAGGTGGACTGGCTGTGTAGGAGATGGGGAAACAATCCGCAAGTGCCAGCCTGTTTCTGAAGGATGCCCAGGAAACACTAAAATATTAATAGCTCTCTTAATGTGATTTAGGTGGTTTTTATGTAATCTATTAAGCTGACAGGGGTGGAACTAATATATCTACACACTAAATAAATTACAGATGTATTTCCTGAAAAATGCAATATCTTCTAAAATATTTGTTTCCAGCTATGAAGTGGTGTTTGACAGGAAGCTGTCCTGTACTCACAGGAGTGCTGAGAGGATGCAAATTGTGGTCTTAAAGCTGATCCCTTGTGTTTGGCCACATAGCCTGGCCCACAGTGGTGTGATAGTCTGGCTACTCTGGTATTTAGAGAGTAACAACTGCCACATGCCCAGCTGGTGGTGAATTACCCCTGTCTGCCCACCCTCCCATCTGATTAGGGATTAAACATTTGATGGATGGCATGTGTTTTCCTTTGACTGACCAGTACTTCAGTGTGATTCCTGGCTCCACAACCATGTCCAATGGCCCATCCTGTTGCCTGCAGGAGCAGCTGTACAAGATGCAGCACTGGCAGCAGCAGGTCTATCCTCCCCCGTCCCACTCCCATCCCCAGCGGACGTTCTACCCGCCGCACCCGCAGATGCTCAGCTTCGATCCCCGCTGGATGATGATGCCGTCCTACATGGACCCTCGCATGGCCCAGAGTCGCACCCCCGTGGATTTCTACCCCTCAGCCCTTCACCCTTCAGGTGAGGTGTTGTCAGTGTTTATCTCGGCTGTTGAGTTGGTTCATACCTGGAAATTCGCTGTGTTTCTTAGCCTCTGTCCAGATTTTGCATTCTGTCTGGCATCCCTTCTCTGGGGATGAGAAAGCTGGTTTCAGTGGGAAGTGGTGGGAGACTGGGAGGGAGGACATGTAGACAGTGTCTGTCCATTCTCTGCACTGCACTGGGAGACCTTCCCTGCCTGCTTTGTGACCTTAGTGGATGTGACTGATCTTGCCCCCTGGAGGAAAGAGTAGCAGATCCACTGATCTTGCCTGTTGGAGGAGAAGGATGAGTTTTGGATTTACTGTAATCATGTGAAAACTTAATAAACCCTTTTAGGAAATGTGAGGGAGAAACACTGTAGTTCCTGAGCTGTGTGTGCTTTGCACCTTCCTATCTTGTCCTAATCTTCAGAGGTGTGAATGTAAACATCAGGATATATAAATCATTCCTTGCAGTTGGTGGATTGCTTGATCCCAAGCCAGTGATGCTGTGTAGTGTCTGTGTGGGCTGGGCTCTGAGTGCTGTGTCATCTTCTGTATCACTCCAGGTGTATTTCCCAGCTGTGCATTTTCCAAGTACAGGCTCCCCTTTACAAGGGAGGTTTCCATGGCTGCAGCTGCCTGCTGCTTGAGAAGGAAGGGAAGTCAGGCTAGGAGATTGTTAAATTCTTCTTGTCTGTGAAATCCTAGTGCTAATGGCATGAACTCTGTTGTGAGCAGGAATTATGAAGCCCGTGATTCAGCAGGACTCCATCAGTGGGAGCAGCTGTCGGTCTGAAGATCAGAACTGTCAGGCAGGGCAGACAGAGAGGAAAACTGCTGCCTTGGATCCTGTGCCAGTGTGGGGCCAGGACAGCTACACATCCCTGCAGAGCAAAGGATACTCCCTGTCGCATCAGAAACATGTTGACAGCATGGGCATGGAAGGGCTGCATGCCAGGTGAGTGCAGAATTCCCCTGTTCTCGTGCATGCTGGGATGGGAGGTGCTGCTGTAAGCATCTGCTGAAAAGCAGGTGTAGAGCTGGCCTGAAAGATGTCTGTAAACAGGCCCAGGTATTGATCTGGAAGCACTCTTACACTCCTGACTGGTTTAGCTGGTTTACACAGAGCTATTGAGTTATTCAGAAGTTTTCTATCTGACCAGCTTGGAGCCTGTTTGGAGGGAGAGGACAGGCTTGTCACCTACATGGGAAGGTATAAAAAGCCATGAGTCAAAAATTCTGATTATTGCTTATCCTACTTTCTTTAGATATTCTGAAACCAGTTCTTTGTTTTCAGCTCTCTACATCATTGGGGGTTAAATCTCCCTTCATTTCTTAAGTTTGCTGCCCATTATAGGAGCTGTTTTCTTTATCATGCATTGGTTCAACAAACCTGGCACTACAGCCTGGGGCCACAGCAGGTCTGGCCAGCATTTTTGTATTTATTGGGTAATTGCCTCATGATTTAGCATAAGCCTCAGTGTATCTCTTTTTCACCTCTCGTATCCAGCCTGGGCCCTTGGAGATGTGCTCTGCATTACCTGACTTACGTTTGTTTGTTGTTTGTTTTATTCTCAGGAATGAAAATTACTCTGCTTCTGGAAGGCCAGAGAGTCTGAGCACTCAGCGAGATCTCTTTGAGGAGAGAGGGGAGGAGTATTTGAATGCTTTTGACAAGAAGGCCCAAGCAGACTTTGACAGCTGCCTGTCTTCTCAGAGGATAGGCCAGGATCTCTTGTTCCAGCACCAGGAGAGTGTGCAGGAAGCCTGTGCTGCTGGCAGCCGCCATGCGAACCTGAGGTGTTCACCCCTGGAGCCTGATTTTATCCAAGCAGAGAAGAAGCCTGAATATAATGGTTGGGATATCAGCCACCATCAGAAACCTGCGGAGACAGCAGAGGAAGTTGCTGAAGAAGGAGCCCGGGAGGAGCAGTCGTTCAGTGCTGACCCCTGGAAGAAAGAAGGAGCCAATACCAAGCAGGCCACTGAAGAGACAGCAGAGTGGGTTCCTGAGAGCCGCAACACCAGCGGGCAGCCCCAGGAGCAGATGGGGAGAACACGGCGGTCGGGCCCCATTAAAAAACCAGTCCTGAAAGCCCTCAAGGTGGAAGAGAAGGAGAAGGAGATGGAGAAGGTTAAACTGGAGGGAGAGGACAGCTCACGCCCGCTGAAGGAGAAGGCAGCTGTTCAGAAGGTAGAAAATGAGTCAGATGACTCTGCTGCCTTGCTGAATTCAACGCGTTACCTGCTGGATGACAAAGGTTCTTCCCAAACGAGCCTTGCACGGGAGGCTGAGAAATCCCAAGAGGAAGAAGAGGACGAGGAGGAAGAAGAGAAGCCAGAAAGAACCTGGGAGAACAAACTATCCAGAGAAAGCAGCGATCTCCCTCCCACAAAAAGAAACAATTGGATCTTCATTGATGAGGAGCAAGCCTTTGGTGGGAGAGGTCAAGGGCGTGGGCGAGGGAGAGGCTTCAGAGAGTTCACTTTCAGAGGCCGAGGCACGGTTGTGAGCAGCAGGGGGGTCTACAACAACACCCAGAGGAGCAGCCGGGGCCGAGGGCTCCGGGAGTTTAACCAGCCAGAGGACTTCCCCAGAGGCAAACCAAGGCGCCGGATTGCCAGTGAGACACACAGCGAAGGGTCAGAGTACGAGGAGCTCCCCAAACGTCGCCGGCAGAGGGGCTCTGAGAACAGCAATGAAGGCTCTGTGCTGGACAGGGATGACAGTGATTTGAAAAAGGGAGACTTCAAAGAGTCTTGGAGGTCCAACAAAATCTATTCAGATGATCACAATAGCCTGGATCCTAAGATGAGGGCTCCAAGAGCCTTTGGGAGATCACTGCCACCAAGACTGAGCAATTCTGGCTATGGGCGAAGGGGGTTCATGGGTAAGGAGCCCACCCAGTGGCAAGGCAGGAGTGGGGGAGGAGGGTGGCAGGAATACAGCCACACATCTCCATCAGACACTTTTGGGAGCAGGCAGCAGTCTGACAGGGACTACCTTCAGGATTCTTACAAACACACGGATTCTTTCTCCAGCCGGGTTTTTGATGAGAGTCATCTGGATGACAAAAGGCACTTTTTCCAGGAGGATTACTCAGCAGATCAGGAGAACATAGAGAACAGGCCCTTCAGGAGGCGGCGTCCTCCCCGGCAGGACAAGCCCCCACGGTTCAGGCGCCTCAGGCAGGAGAGGGAATCAGTCGGGCAGTGGAACCCCGAGGAGGGAGGCCCTAATTTGCTGCCCAGCCAGTGGCCAGGCAGACCCAAGCTGGGCACTGCAGAGAAGAGCAGCATCTCGGGCAGACGCTCTCCTGAGCTGTCCTACCAGAACTCTTCGGACCACGCCAATGAGGAGTGGGAGACAGCGTCTGAGAGCAGTGACTTCAGCGAGCGGCGGGAGAGAAGAGATGGCGCTCCAGAGAGTGAGGGCCAGCTGGAGGGTGGCCTCAGCACTGGGAGCCTGGGAGAGAAGAGGGAACTGGCAAAGAGGAGCTTCTCGAGCCAGAGGCCGCTGGTGGACAGGCAGAGCCGCAAAGCTGAGCCAGCAGGGTTTGCAGAGCAGTCTGTCAGGAGCAGTGTGGGAGCAGCTTCCAGATACGAGAGCCAGCAGAATGGCACCCTGATGAAGAGCAAAAGGTGAAGCTGTTTTCTGATCTGTGGTATATGCTTATGTTGAAGGAGTGGATCTATTAATTTTCTTGTAACTTCTGTTCGCATTCTACTGACAAAACTAAATCCTTTCCCTTCTTTCTGTGTAGGTCTCCAGAAGAAGGAGGAGGCCTTGGCAACACCAGTGGTGGGAGCAGCCACTCCATTTATAGCTTGGATAGGGCCTCCCATGTGAACTCAGAGAGCGCTGAGGGGCCAGGTAAAAAGCCAGAGAAGGAGCACAAATCCACTGCACAAAGAGCAAGTGAGAAGGGAGAGGCCTTGTCACAGTTCGAACTGAGTTATGGAAGTGAGTATCTTAATTAATTTGTTTCTTTAAAGAGGATAACATATTATGGCTGACTGGTTAAAGCCAGACTGATTCAATCCAGTGTAATTTTTGTATCAGGTTAGGGACTTTCTTTACATTTATTTACAGAAATGAGAAAATTCTTGTGTATCTAAATAGAGTGTTAAAATTTAAATGCAAACTTTTCAGCCTGATCACAGTGTCTCTGATGTTTCTTCTATATGTGCATTGTATTCTCTCTGTGTGCTTTGTTCAGGTACCATCATTGATAATCGGGTGTCGAACACAGCAGAAGAGAATGAAGTTGGTTCCATGGCAGGGGAAGGCTTCATTGAGGTTCTTACTAAAAAGCAGCGTCGTTTGCTGGAAGAGGAGCGGAGGAAGAAGGAACAGGCTGCTCAGGTGAGGAATGGGAGGCAGAAAAGTTGGACCTGTTGCATAGTTTGGTTTGCAGTCAGAGAAACAGGGCCCCAGAAAGTGTTTGTATGAACAGAAAGATGTACAGTTGACAGTGACAAAGTAGTACAGATCCTGTATTGGGCCCCAGAAACATATTTAGGGCCTCTGGTCTGAAAAGGAGAGTTTGGTTTCTGACTGTTCTTGGCTTGCAGCAGAATTGTTAATTGGGAGTTAAGTTTCTAGAGTGGTCTTCATCCAAAGCAGCTTAGCTCTCTAAGCCAGCTGCTGGCTGTAGTTGGTGGGATATTGGGCAACAGGAGCAGTGGATGACTTTGCACTCTGACTGTGTTGTTGCCAGAAGAAAACCTCACAGTGCAAAAGGCAGCTCTTTCCAGCCCTGTTAGACTGGGGGAACCTCCCAGTCTGACACCTGTGCCTTTCCTGCCACAGGCACCAGCCAAGGCCCGCGTCCTTCAGTCGCGCATTCCGCCGCGGTTTGCCAAGAAGCAGAACGGCCTGTGCTTGGAGCAGGGTGATGTAGCAGTGTCTGGAAACAGCCTGGGCACAGAGATCTGGGAGAGCAACAGCCCAGGTAGGCTTGGGTCTGTTTGTTCCAAAGGGTTTCACAGAGATGGAGTCCTCTGGGGTGTGCAGCCCTTTCCTGTTTGATGCTGGGAGTGGGTGGGGAGCTGGGCTGGCTGACATGTGGAGTAGCCTTGGTTCTAAGCTCTGCTGTTCAGCCATCCTGCTCCTGTTGCTGGCCATGTCAGTCTCCTAATCTGCTTCTTGGGTCTTTGTTTCACATCAAGATCCTACTATACAGCATTTTATAGCTGCCTGGGCTGGATCTACTTGAGACTTTTTTCTTATTTTGCTTTCCTACATTTTCTCATCTCTAGTCCTGAGCAGCTGGTGCCTCCCTTGTTTCTCTCTGACCTGTCTTTCTCCTGTTATGTTCCCTAAAAATCTCCCCCCTGTTCTCTACTCTGTCCTCATACCCTGGATTTTTGCTGCATCATGTCTCAGATGTCTGGGCAACGCTTAAGGTTCTGAGATGGTGAAAATACCCTTTCTCATGTCTAGAAATGGAAGGTTGATGGTGTAATGTGTATGGAGTCTGCTCGTAGCTGTGTTTCAAACAGCTGGACCTTTCCCTCTGTTCTTTTCCAGCACTTTCCGTTCAGTCTCCTGGCAGTGATTCCTGGAGCAAGCCTGTAAATACCTTTAATGGTACTGAGTCCAGCACTGAGGTAAGTGGCTCCTAAGGTGCCCTTCAAGGTATTGTGTGTATTAAGTAGTAATGCAGGTGGCTTTTATGCTTCTCATTGCTCCATCTGTGCTTAGCAACTCTCAGCTCTGCTTGTGCCATTTTAAACTGTCTCTTTGCAGTTTTAATTTGAGCTTGACGCTGTTCAAATCTTGACCTAAAGAGCCAAGCACTGCTTGGTGTTGTGTGTGGGTATAAAACTGGAGTATCTGTGTGATAGAGCTATTCCAGGGTTATGCTCATCACTGGGTGCACACTGTGGTCGAGGAGGGTGGAATCCCTTAGGTCCTGTTTGTGCCTTGTGCCTGTGAGCAGTGTGTAGCTGTAGCCTTAATGCAGGGAGGGCAGAGTTCCTGAACACTTCACCTCTGGAGACCAAGAGTTGAAGATTTGGTTTGTGTCACATGTGAAGTGAGTTTGGCAGTCTCATCCTAGTTGTTCTGTGGGACACATCTCCTTATGCTGAAGCCATGGTCTGGTTGGTGCATCAGTTCACCTGTCTCAGGGCTGTGTAGAGCTGAGTGAGCAGCCAAGGGGTGCTGCAGGTCAGGCCCAACTCCTTTGCAGTTAACCAGGATGGTGATTTGAAAAAGGGACGTGGTCTTGCTGTTTTCTGGGATGTTTTTTCCTCGGTGGTGCTGGGTCTGAGTCCGGGGCTTTAACACATTTCGTGCTTTGCATAGCAGGGATTTAAAGGCAGCCAGGGGGATAGTGGCATTGACTTGAGCGCGGAGTCTCGGGAATCCTCCGCGACCTCCTCTCAGCGCAGTTCTCCATATGGCACCCTCAAACCAGAGGAGATGAATGGGGCTGGCCTGGTGGACCCAAAGCCTGACTGCCAGAAGGAGCAAGTGCAGAAGCAAACTGATAAAAAGGTAATCTGGATTCGCAGCCAAGCCAGAGCGCAGAGTGAGAGACGTTGTGAAGTGGTTGTGTTGTTCTTGATAGCATTTTTAAGGCTTGAGGTTGGGTTATTCGGTCTTTGTGTCTCAGCCTCTCTGCTTTCCTGTTAAGGATTCAGATCAAGGCTCAGGACAGAACAAGGAACACAAGCCCGGACCAATCGGCAACGAACGCTCCCTGAAAAACAGAAAGGGTTCGGAGGGAACGGAACGGCTGGAAGGGAATATTCCCCCTGTTAATGGGGTGGAAATTCACGTGGATTCTGTACTTCCTGTGCCACCCATTGAATTTGGAGTAAATCCTAAAGTGAGGATTGAATTTAATTTTATCTTCTTGGTGATTTGATCTTGTTGAGGCATGAAAAGTGATTTGAGGCAGAAGGATTATTTAGAGGAAGCTTCCAGCTGTAGGTTTGCCTTAGATTTCATTACTGACACAGACCAGGCACCCAGGATGTCCTGGCAAACATTTAGTATCCACTTGGAAATACTGTCCCAAGGACCAGCTGGGGTGGTAAGAGAGGTGAGGGACAAAATCACGGCCAAGCTTTTGTGTGCCTCTGGGGGTTGCCTGCTGCTGAGTGCTGAGAAGTGTTTTCTGTTTCCAGCAAAGCTTACTGGAGATCAGTTGTAGTGTCATAATTCAGGCTAGAGTCATTAACCATGAAAAGCAGAGGGTTGGCCTATGGACCTGGATTTGAATTTTATGTGTTTTGCCTTTTCAGGACTCTGACTTCAGCTTGCCGCCTGGTTCTGCCTCTGGCACTGCAGCTAACCCTGTCACCAAATTGCAGGATGCCTTGGCCAGTAATGTAAGTATTTTTTTTCTTTTGGCATTGATTCATGGGAGATACTCCTTAGATGCTTACAAAGAGAGCAAGCATGTCTGCATCTGACTTCATATTTCATGCTTAGGCAGCACATGTCACTGAACTCCAAAATGGAAATCTCAAGATACCTTGATAAAATGAGTCTCACAAATGCAGAAGTGATGTAGACAGCAACTTCATTAGCATTGTGACCTGTGTAAAGCCATCTCTGAGATGAGCAGTCTCTTCCCCTGAGGTACACAAGTGTTGGACATGGCCATGATGCAGATGGTGGCATGTTTAGACCCAGACTGCCCAGCTTCCTCAGAAGGTTTCACCTGCCACAGCAAGGTGGGCAGGCCTTTTTAGAGGTTTTCCAGCTTATTCCAGCCATCTGGGTATTCCATTATTCTGTGTGAAAAAGTGAGCACACTGAAAGCCCAGCTGGTAGCTCAGCTGTAGAAAGCAGTGAGACACGCACAAAGCTGCTTTTGAAATGTCTTCAGGTTTGTAGGCTGTCTGGTTTGGATTTTGGAGATTTGTCTTATAGGGTGTTCCTTTTCAGAAACAGGTTTTGTCTGAAATTTAGGTAGTTTGTAAATATGGGTCAGGAAGGAGAACTCTTCTGCAAATGGAAGTTATTGGATCAAACTGATGTTGAAGTGGAAGCTGGTATAGCTCAGCATAGAGGGGTGTCTTTGCACATAACCAAAGCTCCCTTTATTGCAAGAGCAGAATGAACCCCAGTTGAACGTGGTATTTTGCTCCTGCAGTACCCCTGGGGACTGAATTCTTTGATGTGCACTTACTGGAGCTGCCCAGCTGAACCTCTGTCACCTTGGTGGCTCATACCATTCTCCTAAGAGCTCACAAATATTCACCTTTTATGACTCTCCCCTCAGGCAGGGTTAACACAGTCCATTCCCATCCTGCGAAGGGATCATCACCTCCAGCGCTGCATCGGCCTGAACCCCATGTCCTTCCCCACTGCAGACCTTACTCTTAAGGTAAGGGAGCTGAAGGTCTGTGGATGCCATGTCTCTGTGGGCAGAGTACTGAGGGTGGGGAGATCTTTCCCAGGGTATTTTTGTTAGGTATTGCTAAACTTTAATTAGCTTTTGTATAAGTTATGCATATGTGCTATTCAAAATGAGTGCAGGGGTATGTGTTTTAAGTCCTGAATGCAGGAAGTTCTTGCCAGTTGTAAAACCAAGTGCAACAGAGCTTTCCTGTTTCAGTACTGGGTAAGGTGGCTGGCTGCTCAGGGATCCTGGGAAGCCTGGTGGTATAAAGAAAGGGAAAAAACAAAACCCAGCCAAGTGTACAAACAAGAACAACAATAGAACCAAATAAACCAAACCAAAAACCACCTCCACCCCAAACCCAAGAAGTTCAGTAAATACCAAGGGATTTGAGTATTCGTGAAGGATTTTTGTCCATTAGAAATTGTTGTAGAACCCCCTGACCTCAGATGGGTCAGCTTTCCACTATGCCTAGAATGCAAAGAGTTTGAGCTCATAGGACCCAGATGAGCAACTGTAGGCTTTGGTAATGTCCTCCCCATTTGAACTGTCTGTAGTTATTGTTCTTTGTTTCCATAGATGGAGTCTGCTCGTAAAGCTTGGGAAAACTCTCCGAGTTTACCAGAACAGAACTCCCCAGGAGGTGCAGGCTCAGGCATCCAGCCTCCTTCCAGTGTTGGAGCTTCCAACGGTGTCAGCTACAGCTCTTTTGGTGGAGTTTCTATGCCTCCTATGCCTGTGGCCTCTGTAGCACCTTCTGCATCTATTCCAGGTATTGCAAACTGCAGCAGCATTTGCATTGTGTGATTGTTATCTGGGAGTCAGGCTCTGCTTCTGGTAGATGAGAGCATGGTGAGAAAAGCTTCTGTGTAGAGTAACTGGCTGGTGTTTGACAGATCCCTAACAACTCAGACAAGACAGAAAGAGGGACTGTCTCCACACTTTGAAGAATGTGATGGGTGAAAATTTAATACAAAGACAGCTTTCCCTGTGTAGTGGCAAGTCTCTGATGTCGCAATAGATCTTGCTTACCCTTTACTGTGTGCCCAGTAGAATAGAAGGGAGGAAACCTCTGGCAGAGAGGCTTCAACAGTCCCAATATCATTATCAGCCATTCCTCTGCTTGTTTTGCCTGTGAAGTCACAGGTTCTGAGCACCCTTTGCTTTTAGCAAAACAACAACTGGCTCATAGCTCACAGAACTCTGGGGGGGGGGGGAAGGTGTTGCTGTGTTTTAAAGGAAAAGCTTAACTCAATTATGTTAGTGTGTGTAATTAGGCAGAGTATCTGGAAAGAGGAAATGTACTGGGATTCTCTCCATGGGAAGACTCTTGGGTCCCAAAGGACTTCTCATGTATGCACTGTCTTTCATGTCTCAGATCAGGAGCAGAGTGAAATGTGCAGTGACTCTGTTATTAGCTTGCACTTGGTAAACAGATTGTTCCAAGTCAGGTGATTTCCTTCCTCACCACCCTAATCTTGCTGCTTAATCCTGTGGTTCATATCTGCACAAAAGCACAGGAGTGGCACAGCAGTTACTAATTGGTGCCACCCTAGGGGTGAATATGGCTTTTAGATCTCATGTGTCAAGGTCTTAAATGCTGTATTGGCTCTTTCTGTCTGTCTTAGCTGCAAAGATGAGATGATTGCAGAGCAGGTTTCTGGCATTTAGATCAGAGTACAGGTTACCAGCTTCTGAGCTGCTAGTGTCTGACTCTTGTGGAGGTGGGAAACCTCGGTTTACATTGAGCCTCTGACAGGAAGGTATGATTAATTCTTGGCAATCCTACTACTGCTGATGTTGGTATGTGGATTTAGGAGCTTTACAGACTTCTGAATGGGTACTATGTTTTTGTTAAATTGCTGAAAGGTAAAAAATAGTCTTGACCTGCCAATCTCTGCAGTCTACTGTGCCTGTATCTTCCCTGTACCTTGACATTACAGCCTGCCTTTTCTGATGCCCAGGTAACCATATTCCACCCCTGTATCTGGATGGCCATGTGTTTGCAAGTCAGCCCCGCCTGGTCCCTCAGACAATACCTCAGCAGCAAAGCTACCAACAGGTAAGGGAGCAGTACAGCTTCCAAGTGGTATTTCAAGGATTCTTCATGGTGGCATTTAAGAAACAATGAGTAATTTTCCACTTTCATAGCCCAGTCTCCCTTTAGGTTCCTTGAATGCTGCTTCCCAGTGGGTGTCAGGGGTTAGTGGAACTGAAGGGAGGGAATTTAGGAGCTCTTCCCCTTCTGTACCAGTGCCCTTGGACTGGTTTTAACTGAAGCAGATGCTGAGGCCTGAGTGAGATGGAAGTGACTTTCAGTGAATTCCCCAGCCAGTCAATAATAATGAGTAACTTCACTAGTAACTAAGATGTTGATAGGGCTGGGGAGAGCTCTTTCAAGGTGGAGTACAGGCAAGTGAGAGCTGGGATTGTCACTGCCTGCTCTTATGTGAAGAGCATGTTGGTTCCCTCATGTCCATCAAATGCCTCTTGTAGGCATCAACCTCTGGGTGCCTGGGCAGTGTCTTCCCTGGCAGTGCTGCTGTTCTGGGGAATGATGCAGGGCTGGCCAAAGGCCCAGTGTAGGTAATTGTCACTGCAGATTGACTCATGCTGCAAACTGATGGGTTTTTAACAGCCCTGGAGAGTTTCTGACTCCTCTTGTGCCTCTCAGTCATATTTACTTTCTTCTGCAGGCTGCTGCTGCTCAACAGATTCCCATTTCCCTCCACACATCCTTACAGGCCCAAGCTCAGCTTGGACTGAGGGGTGGTCTGCCGGTTTCCCAGTCCCAGGAGATGTACAGCTCCATACAGCCCTTCAGGTAACTGCTTCCTGTTTTCCTTTCCTTGTGGCTTGCTTTCTTAATGTTCTTCATGTCTGTGTACAGTGGTCAGATACCCCACACTCATCTTCCCTTTCCTCTTTGTTCAAATGCTGTTTCCTACCCCTTATAACAGTGCCAGTGTAGGGAGCATGAGACTGAAAAATCTGAGTTAGTACTTAGTGCTTCAAAAGCACTGAGGTTTAAAAAAACCCTTCTTATTTGCTGGAGCTGTTGGAATCTTTAACTTCTGGTTTTTTCCTGCTTTGCAAAATTCCTGCAGACTTTAGGTAACCTGAATCTTCCCTTCACTGCTAATCTACAGGTTGTTGTGTGGGATATTGAAACATAAATACTAGATACTACACAATGTGTTCTGTTGAATATTCTGGCAACACAGGGACGTGGTTATAAAAGCTTAAGAGTGGAAGTAAAAAATCCTGGTAACTAAAATAGAAAGTGGCATCACATCTTATTTCTAAGCTGTCAGTTTAGTTGTTTGAGAACTGATGGCAGGCCAAATACAGTTTGGGAGGGTGTGTTTGTACAGTGTCCAAAGGTTTTGTGCATCGTGACTGAAGCATGTTTTTTTCCTGCAGGTCTCAGGTGTACATGCACCCCAGTCTGTCCCAGCCCAGCACCATGGTCCTGACAGGAGGCACTGCTCTGAAACCTCCATATTCCGCCTTCCCAGGCATGCAGCCCTTGGAGGTGGTGAAAACCCAGTCTGGGTCCCCTTATCAGCCCATGAACGGAAGCCAGGCACTGGTTTATGAGGGGCAAATAAACCAGGCTGGTATGGGAGCCTCCCAGATGATGGACTCTCAGCTCACACAGGTTAGGAGCAGGACTGGCGAGCCACTCCTTTGGTCCAGGCTTATTCACAGCCACTTGTTTCTGAGGATGGGTTGTAACATGTCTGTCTGAACTAAACTTTGTAAAGAGGCGGAAGATTTCCCCGAGACACTGTTCTGTGAACCATGGTTTCACATATGCAGCACCTTATTTAATGAGATGGTTGCTCATACCTTGTCTGTCCCTGCTGAGACGTCATTTTGTCACTTGGAAGTCAGACCTTCCAGTGCTGCATGCATAGGAGGCCATGAATGCAATGGTTGTCCTAAAAGCACCTCTTCTGAGAGCCAAATCCCAATCATCTCTCCCATCACCTCAGCTTCCAGGGCAACTAGGAACTTGTATTAAAGGCTCATCCGTCTTCTCAGTTCATTTGTCGTCCAAGTCTTATTTACAACTTCAGCTGATCTGTTTGGCAGAATCCTAACAGGAATTTCAATGTGTGAAAATGTTTTAATAAAGCATGGTTCACATAAAAACATTGAATTCTACTGTGACCATAGCTGTGTTTGTGGGCATGTGCTCTGATTCTCTGGAGAAATTTGATAATTTTATTAAACTCATCTTACGTTTATCTTGTGCAACTTGTTAAGGTTTATTTTTTGTTTCAGAGGGATTTTTATGTTGTGACTGACGTAAAGAGTTAATCCTGAAAGTAACCTTAGGTGAGGAAAATACAGAGAACACTGGCAAACTAAATATTTGAAGAAATGTTTTATCCATCATAAGCGAGTAACTTGGTTTCTTTTGCCAGCCTTAGATCGGTTTATTTATTTATTCTAAAGTGTTGATAGAACCTCCCAAATCCAGCAATTGTGAGAAAATCTGGGGGAACAGGAGGTGCCTCAGCCCCAAGCTACAGTATTTTTTTGTAATTGCTCTTAGTTATGTCCATCATTGGTTTGAAGCTCACTGTGAAACATGGAGCCTAAGTCCCCATGGAGGACCAATCCTCAGAATGTTTTGGTGTAAGAACGTAGGAGATTTTCAAAGGTGAAAACAAAGCACCTGACACTGCACTGACACTGATGTTGTATGAAGGGAAAACAGACCCATGAAGTGATCATGAGGAAGACTGGAAAACTGGGCTCTAGGAATGGAGGACAGCCCCCATCCATGGGCAGTTAGGTTAACTTGATGGCATGTTAAAAACCCAGCTGATAAGGGTGTTGGCAGCCCTGCCAGAACATCCATTTCCCGTGTGAAAGTCCCTCTGATACAGTCATTTGCCTTTATTCCATGCCAGACTGCGCTGTTTGGGAGCTTCCCTTTGGCAAGGCTGTGCTTTCAGGGTATTGGGAGGCAGCATGTCAAACACGAGACTGTTACTGCCATTAAGGTAACTACATGTCCTTGTCACACAGCTGACAATGCCTGTGCCTGGCTCCCAGCTGCCTCTGCCCCGCTACGGCTCTGGCCAGCAGCCCCTGCTTCTGCCACAGTCCATCCAGCTTCCTCAGGGGCAAAACCTGCCTGTAGGAGCTCCCCGAAGAATCCTCCCTCCTGGATCCCAGCCTTCTGTTCTTGCTGCCAGCAGGGAGGTAAGGATTAACTCCTGGTGCTGCTCATGGCATTCAGTAACCCCTCCTGCGTTGAAGTTTTACTCCTTGCTTTTTAAAGGGGAGAATGGCTTGTTTGGGATCCTTAAATATCCAAGCCAAGGATTGCTGTTAAAATGAAGGAACCCTTTTCCCCTCATCTCCAAAGTGCAAGCCAGCAGTTTTCAGGTTTTGCTGCTGGTCGTCATTCTGTTTCCAGGGAGCCACATCCTGCCTTGATCCAGTTTGGAGTCTCCAGTTTTATTACATGTTTACACAGGTTTCCCCAGAGTGCTTGAGGGGTGGTGAGCTCCAGACACAGTTGGAATACTGCCCAGATATTTCACTCTGTTGTGAAGCTTGTCCATTGGAGTAGGTATATTAATGTCATGTCTGGTTTGATGGATTCATATCATAAGTTTGTCTTACTATAGGGGAGAGAGAGCACAGCAGTTAACTGCCAGGTTCTGTATTTGCTTGTGCTGCTGGCTTGGTGCTTTAATACCAACAGATTATTTCACTTACAAGCCTCACTTTCTTCACCTGAAAAATATTTCTTCTTTTAAATTGGCATGATGGGGAGAAGGGCAAACATTTGGCATAAGTATTTATATGAAGTAATGAGTGATTTGTGAATGCAAAGATGATACTCTCTCTCACTCATTTTCCTCTGTAGTCCTCCCAGATGGAAATGAAAGGGTTTCATTTCTCCGATGGTAAACAGAGCATGTCCTCCGGAGGGTCAGTACCATCCCCACACACGTACAGGTGAGACCTTCACACAACTTGGGCTCCTTAGGATGGGAGAGAAACACCCATCATCCCTGCACGAGATCCACCTGGGTTTTCATGTCCAGAACGTGCTCACTGCAGTCCAAGTACTTGTGTCTAAATGCATGGTCATTCTTTCATTCTGGGCGTGGGCCAGTGTGTGTATCTGACCTGGTGCTTTGTGGGAGGTGCATGAAGTTACTTGTTCACTGAATCTCGAAGACAGGTTGGAATTGGTGTGTGCTTTTGTTCCTTGTGAAGGTGGGAAATCTGATGATCATTGAATAAATATTTATGGTCTTGAAGATGGGAGTGCTCATTCTAGACACATCAGGTCATTGAGGCTTTTGGGAGACTAATTTATTTTTTTCTCCTAACTGACCTGTGTGTTGTCATTTGCATTGTGGAGCTCACTGATCTGCACAGCACAGACTTGTGCCTTGTCTGTTGCTGCTTTGCTGTCTTTTTTTCTTTCACACATGAATAAGGCTCTCATTCCATTGTAGAATTTACTCCATGAATGTTGTCGACTCTTCGATTTCCAGGCCTAGCTCTGCCAGCCCCAGCGGGAAGCCGTCGGGACCAGCAGTGAGCATGGGCTCTGTGCAAGGACACTACGTACAGCAGGTAGTGTACCTGAGGTCTTTGTACAGCCCAAAAATACCTGCTCTTCTACACTGTTGTTCTTGGCCTTGGGCTGCAGGGGCGAGGCAGAAAGGCCTGTGTAACTGAAGCTCCATGTGGGAGTTAGTGTTTTCCCCTGGGTAGGTGGGTGTTTTACTGAGTCCAGGAGTAATTCTTTGTGATTTGAAAGTCAGGAGAGATTAGTTCTACTAAGTTCTGCTGTGGAGTTTTTGTAAGTTACTTGGATTGCCAAATACGTGAGACACTGAGATCCTTAAATGTGAGGTGTTACAGGAGCAAATTCAATGTCCTGCATGAACGATGGTCACAGTTTGCTTGTTCTGCCTGCCTAGAGGTGTCTGTCCTAGCTAATGCTTTGGTTTTTGTGTCAAAAGGCAAAGCAGCGGGTGGATGATAACAAAGCCAGTCTGGGAGCAGTGAAGCTGCAAGAAGCAACCTCCACAAACCAGATGAAGCCAGTGCGCACAGGAGCGATCAAACCTCAGGCAGTCAAAGTGGAGGAGAGCAAGGCCTAGGAGCACCTCTGATGCCTGGCTGGTCCTGCTGCCTGAGAGGCACCACAGCTTAGACTGGACCCCACTGGATCTCCTGAAAATCTCACCAGATCTATCCCCACCCCACACTGACTGACTACATCATTCAAGCCCCTCTCCCAACAAAGCAGTTTGAAACAGTGGATATGACATTGACCTGCTTGCTTTAAAACAAACCGATCATGTGACTTTTAAGTGGCTTTAGCCATTTTTTTTTTTTTTATTTCCCCCTCCCCATGCCCCATCCACAGGTAGCTGTGATCGCTCACTTGGCAAAGCCCGTCCTTCTCCTTCCCTACTTCTGTCTCAGCAGAGTGGCAACTGGGGGAGAGGGGTTTAGTTTGAGGTTTTTCATTTTAAAGGCAGCTGAGGTTTTTACAAAAAAGCTGTATCTTTGTTTATAGCAGAACTTTTATATGTTCTCTCATTCTCCCCCTTCTTTCTGCTTTCCTCATTCCTTTCAGAAGAGAATTCCCTTCAGTTAAAATGATGTTCTGACAAAACTCTGCTTAGTTTTGTATATGGTTCTGTGCTATGTTGAGAGTTCGAGTTTGTTTGGGTGTATTTCCTCAGATGATTTAGTCTTTCAGACTTTGATTAAAAAAAAACAGGACAGATATGACATTTGTTAATTTTTCAGTATTTTTGTTTTAAGCTAGAAGCAGTGCTTGCAGTAGGAAGAAATGTGTACTAAAGACACATAATACATCAGTGCATAAATCCTGAAACTTGCACCACTTCCATGCAGCTTTGGGGTGCTTGGTGCACAACAAAATTTAGCATTTTCATTTTAAGGAAAAAAACCCAAACCACCAGATTTCTGTTGCAAGCTCATACAGATCTAGGTGTTTAATTTTTTCCTTTTTGTGCGTTTTGGATTTTTTTAGTGACTGCAAAACAAACGCCAAAATGTAAATCATAGATTTACAAAGTGTAATGTTTGTTAGGGAAAAAAAATTCTCACAACACGTGGGTCAGAAGAGTTGGCTAGAGCCAACGGGTCTGTATGGACTACTTTTTGTAGTTGTGATGCTCTCTCATGCTCCCTGCCTTGGCTGCTGGAATTCTTCGTGTCTCCTGAGACTTGTCCTATATTGTGTTCATCCCTCGGGGCTGCTCTCCTAAGCTTTGCTCTTTTCCCTGAGTCTTGCTTTCTATTCCTCTATTCCATGGCCTTTTGTAAAATTTGCATAGAAATACATTGGTAAGGGAGCCCCTCTGCAAGGCACCTCCTGTTTTGGGTTGGAAGTGCGTGGTTACAGAGGCAGTTTGGAATCATCCTTCTCCTCTCCTTCCCCAGGTGAACAGCAAAGGGTTCTTTACTCTGGTGCAGTTGCATATAGTGTGTGTACAGCATCGTCACCTCACCACTCCTCTCCAGTATTTGATGATCTACACAAGGAAGATCCCAGTGGGAGAGGTTGGGTTTTATTTCTTTGGCTGTTTGGTTTTGGTTTTTGTGAGCGTGCGTGTGTGTGTGTGTGTGTGTTCGTAGATTTTTTAGGATGGACTTAAAAGTTCCTGAAAGGGCTTGGAGTCCTTCACCTGATGGTAGTCTAAAGTGAAAACTACTTTCAGCTAACTTGGTTTTTGTTGTTTAGCTCTTTCAAAATGTAAAGTAGGCTGGTCACTCTGAAGTGAGGGACAGAACTGTTTTTGGAGATGGTAGCTTGCTCACGGGCTGTGTGTCGGCCTCTGCTGGGTGGCAGAAAGTCATTTGGTGGTGGTTCCAAAGAAGATATTTTGAACAAAGAATGTATTGGGGAAGGGATCTGAAAGGTGTTCTTGTTTCTTTGTTTGCTTTCCTCCCCCCCACCCCTCCCCTGTCTGGAAAAAGATCCTTTGTAACTTTGTAAGGATGCATTTGAAGTTTTAAGCTAGGCATAAATATGATTTTTATACAGTAGCTTTAAAGAGCTTAGAAACCTAAACTAACTTAGGCATAGTAATGTCCCCTCTCCATAGGTGTCCCCACGGAACATGGCAGAGAACCTGAAGGGAAAGGGATAGGATGGTACTTTAAGAAAAAATAAGAGCTCTTTTTTCCTTAGGTTTTATCGATTTTAATTTCGGAGCAGAGTGTGCCAGCATCTCTCTAGCGTCCTCCTTAAAGTACAAGGTTTGAGATTTAGTGACAAATATTTCCCCAACCTTCAGACATCTCCCAGATTTGCATCCTCATCTGCTAGTCCTGCTCCCAGTGTTTTCCAAAGATTGTACCTCCAGTAAGTCATCCCACCCTTGTTTCTATTTTCTCCCTTGAAATACCATTAACAGCAGAATTGTCTGTTTGGGATTTTTTTATTATCCTTCTGCCCAGCTGGCCATAGCTAATACAAGCCCAGAATCTAACTAATGGCTAAAGAGACTTACCTGAGCCCTCCTCATCTCTTCCCTACTCTAGACACACTACTTCAGCTTTACAAAGACACTAACCTCCTTCCTCCCACCTGTGTGACTTCAAAACGGTCAAACGTGTTGGAGAAACTGGGTTATTGCAAGATCCAAGATATTGCAGTCCCTCTGGTGTACATGCCATCAGAATTACAAAACTTCCCTATTGGAAAAGGTCACCCTTCTTTCTCTTTTAATCCCTCCATTCCTCCCCCCAACAAAATAAAACACTAGAATTTATTTATACGTATTTGATGTTGTAGGTCTAGGTGAAAAAGTAATTGTTTCACTGCTCTATTTATATATTATGTCTGAATTATTCTGTGCAGGAAAGGCCAAGAAATGCATGTGAGCTTCATTCCATTTCTCAACTTTGCGTGACTGTCAGCTGCAGTTGGCAAGACTCTCTCACTTAGTGGAGTTTTGTGTGATGGAAAGCAGTTTTAGAGCCCAAATTTCTACGGTGCAATATCCTTCTCTGGCATATATTTTTGCTTGTTTGTTTGTTTGTTTGTTTGTTTAAAGCTAGTCCAAGGTTAGTGCAGTTTGTGGTGCTCTGGAGTCAAAAGGAAAAGCCTCAGATCCTCAAAGGAGGAGAAAAGCCAAGGGAGCTGGAATGCTGATAAAAATCCGGTGTGGAGAGGAGGATGGAGATGCACAGAACGTGTCAATGCAGTTACAGAGGGTCCTTCTGCTTGCTGTCTGCACTGTTGAAGGCTTGATTTATTGCTGATTTATTCCTTTGTGAGTTGCTTTAGCTTTGACTGGAAGTCAGCTACCAAATTGCAGCCTCATTCTGCTGGGAAAGGTGGAGCCCATCTTTCCAGCAAGAAGCAGGAATGTTCAGAGGCTGACCCTGCTGCTCCCTGTCGCACAGTGAGCCATGGCCAGCAGCTCCAGTCAGCGCTGCTGTCCTCACCACTCCTGCTGTTAGCTCTTAATTTAAAAACAAATCAGCATTGACGTCTTGGAAGAAAAAAAAGGGCATAAAAAGGCACTCCAGTGTATTTTAAACGACAGGCAGAAGCAGCAGTCACCAGTGCCACAGGCATTGCTGTTGATGTTCCATAGCTTGCTCCTGGCTGTGCCAGCTGTGCAGTGTCAGCACCTCTGGATGTGTTTGCTGCCCGTTGTGTGTGTGGTGCTCCATCAACGCCTTCCTCGCAGGAATGCTGCAAAGCCACGAGCTGCCCTGTGCTTCCTGTGTGTTTATAGACTGGTATGCATGCCAGGACCTCCTTCTGTTGCATCTTCTTAACCCTCCTTTTGTTCCAGGCTGGCTAAGCACAGCTTAATTCCTGGTTATTTTTTATTCAGCAACCCAGTTTCTTCATAAGAAAGTTTTATTTGTGAATAAAATTTAATTTACAACAGCCACCAGCGTGCTTAGTTGTGGCACATGGACAGAAAAGGTGCATTTAGCTGTCTCTTTTTTGCTTCAGAGTCCAGCTATTCTTGTTGTTTATTTTAATCCAAAGACCACCAGGTTTTCCAGTGGCCATAGACACTCCCTTGGGTTTAGTGGCTTGTTCTGGCTGCTCCAGATGTCCTTGGCTGTCCCCCAGGAATCACAGCTGCAGCAGTGAGGCGCTCACCCTTTAGCATGTCTCGAGGCATTGTCCTTAGCTGGAATCCTCCCTCTGGTTCTGTAAAAATTGCATTTGTTGTTTCTCAAGGGGATACTGTCCTCCTTAAAGCTTTTAACTTCATGACCTGTATAGTAAATTTTTTTTGGCCTTTCCTCTCTTTGTCTTTTCATGTAGACCAGATATTTGAAAGGGCAGACGATGGATAATTGTGTAACGTGCAACCTGTTTATATTTTTTGGAAACTCTTAACTCGGACCGGAATTCGAATCACGGAATCACCAGGCCAGTTGCGGCACACTTCTTTATTGCCCTTCTCCTCGTTTCAGTACCTATTGTTTCTCCTTTCAAATATGTGATTGTATTAGCTCTTTCCATATGAAAGAATTCTCCTTATTTAAATAAAAAAAAATTAAAAAATAAAGCAGATTATGCTTTTCTCAAATTCCCCTGGTCCCTTTGTCTGGTTATTTTAGTTAATAAAAACAAAACAAAAAAAACCGCCAACAAACAAACAAAAAACCCCAAACAAAAACAAACAAAAAAAAACACCTTAAAAAGCACCAAAAAAAAAAAAAAAAAACTAACAAAAAAAACAAAACACACAACAAGAAAGCCCCAGCGGCCGGGTCCCTCGCAGCCGCCATGTTGGGGAGGCCGGCCGTTGCCATGGCAACACCTCCAGTTTCCGGGTTCCCCCGTGCGATGCGTGCGTCTGACGTCACATCCGGTATCGCCAGGTAGGGGCGGGTGGAGCGCGGCGCGCGGCGGGGCCACGCCCCCCGCGCGCGGGGCCGTGAGGGGTGGCGGGTGCCGGTCCGAGCCTAAACCTGGTCCCGGTTTTAGTCCTGATCCTGGGCACATCCCAGTCCTAGTCCGCCTGCCCGCGGTCCTAGTGCTGGTCTCGGCACTTCCTGTTGGCCCCGGCCCTGGTCCGCATCCTAATCCCGGCCCTAGTGCTGTTCCCGGTCCTAATCCCGATCCTAGTGCTGGTCCCGGTCCTAGTGCTGGTCCCAGCACTGTTCTTCCTGGCTGAGGTCCTAGTCCCGATCCTTGTCCCGATCCTAGTGCTGGTCCCGGCACTGTTCTTCCTGGCCCTGATCCTAGTCCGCATCCTAATCCCGGCCCTCGTGCTGGTCCCGGTCCTATTTGTGGTCCTAGCGCTGCTCCCGGCACTGTTCCTCCCGGTTCCGCTCCTAATCCCGGCCCTAGTGCTGCTCCCGGCACTGGTGTCCTGGCCCCGGTCCTAGTCCCAGTTCTAATCCCGGCCCCAGTGCTGCTCCCGGTCCCGGTCCCGGTCCCAGCTCCGCGGTGCCGCTCGCCCCTTCACCCCCGTACAGCTGAGGGGGGCGGGCGAGGCCTCGCGGGGGCTCCTGTGCCCCACAAAAACCCTCCAGGAGGATCCAGTGCGGGTGGTGAGGATCAGTAACCCTCGGAGGGAGAGCGGAAAGGGGGAACCGGGCGGGGTGGGGGACGCTGGCCCTGCTCCCCTCACAGGGGTGCGGAGCCCGGCCGAGGTTTGAGCTGGGCAGGAGCCCGGGGTGGTGCTGCACACCTGCACAGGGATCAGCAGGGCCTGTGAGGGGCTGACAGAGCCCAGGTGGGAGCACGGCTGTGCCAGGGGCTCCTGCGAACCTCTGCTCCACTCAGCGCTTGTGTTTTTGTAGGCAGGGAGAAACCAGGCCAGCGGCACGGCTCTGGATGGTGGTGATGTGCTCACATCTCGCTTTGTTCTCTCCTGATCAAAGCCACGCAGATGGATTTGTTCTGGTAACTTTCTGTAGCGTTGAGGTGAGGAGGCACAGTACTGATTTTCTGCTATTTTCTGACCTAGCTTTTAGCACTTCTGCTTAAACAGTGCCTGTACAAGTGCTCCAGTAACCATCTTTCTAACGCAGAGTTCCCAGAGTCCCATCCCCATTCCCAGTTTTCCATTCCCAGTCCCCATTCCCATTCTCATACTCAGTTCCCATCCCCATTCCCAGTTTCCCATTCCCAGTCCCCATTCCCATTCTCATACTCAGTTCCCATCCCCATTCCCAGTTTCCCATTCCCACATCCCATCCCTAACCCCATCCGCATTCCCATTCCCTCTTTCCCATTCCCATTCTCGTTCCCAGTTCCCATTCCCAGTTTCCCATTCCCATTCCCAGTTTTCCATTCCCAGTTTTCCATTCCCATTCTCATTCCCAGTTCAGATTCCCAGTTTCCCATTCCCAGTTTTCCATTCCCAGTCTCCATTCCCATCCTCATTCCCATTCTCATCCCCATTCCCAGTTCCCATCCTCACATTCCCATCCCCATTCACAGTTCCCATTTCCCATTCCTAATTCCCTCTCCCTTCCCCACTCCCAGAGAAATACCTCAGTTTGCAAGGAACTTGTTTGAGTTTTTTTTTAAACCTGCCTGAACTCTCAATAGCTCAGTTAGTGAGGTCATCTAGTGCCTGAGCACGTGGGTTGTCCACCAGTAGCATCAGAGTTTGGGCTGTGAGGTTTGCTTTGCACAAAGCAGAATACAGGTTGGAGAATTAAGGTGCTGTGTTTCTGCAGAACCAGTGTAAGAATAAACAAGGTTTTTAGATTACTACCGCAGGCAGAAGCAGGGCAGATGAAAAGTGTGTCAGTTCAGTAACGTTATTTTTACAACTAGTCCTGTAGATAGAATAGAAACACAAAAACATGAAAAGCAAGAGAATTTTGGGAAATTAATCACCATTAGCTGCTTGTAGCAGAAATCAGCCTTGTTCTTTTTGTGAAGTGTTCAGCTCTCTGTGAGCCAAAGGGTGACTGCTGTTCTCTTCTGCTCTCGAAGGTTCAGGCAAACCTTTGACGAGATGTTGGGATTTCTGAAGGAGCCAGTTGTGGTCACTGCAAAGATCAATGTGAGCCTTGTGGCACTGACCGTGATGGGATTAATAAATCGTCTCTGGGGGCTTTGCTATCCACGGGCTGTGGTGTGAGTAATGAGTTTCTTTTCTACCTGAATGACACAGACTTGTTTTTCAAACATTTGTGAGCAAGAATGCAGGAGCAGAAGAGCACAGCTTGACTGATGGCAGCCTCTGTAAATAATAGAATCACAAAATCCCTGACTGGTTTGGGTCGGAAGGGTTCTTAAAGCTCATTTTATTCTGACTCCTGCCATGGGCAGGGACACCTTCGACTATCCCAGGTGCTCCAGCCTGGCCTGGAACACTTCCAGGGATCCAGGGGCAGCCGCAGCTTCTCTGGGCAACCTGTGCCAGGGCCTCACCACCCTCACAGGGAAGAATTCTTTCCTAAAATTCATCTCAACCCACTCTCTGACAGTGTGAAGCCATTCCCCCTTGTCCTGTCACTCCAGGCTGTTACAGTGTCATTCCTTCAGGTGCCAGGGGGCCACAATTAGGCCACCCCTGTGGGCCTTCTTTTTTCCAGGCTGAACAATGCCAATGCAGTGATAATCTTTTCCTAATAAACCCCCTCAGTGCTTCCTTGCATTCCTACCTTTCTCACAACAAGTTGGTGTTTGCTTTCTGAGTATCCCTACAGGAAAATTGCTGTTAGATTTGACATTTTTCTGCCTCTGGTGTTTCAGTTTTGATGAAGTTTATTATGGCCAGTTCGTTTCACTGTACATGAAGAGGATCTTCTTTGTGGATGACAGTGGCCCACCCTTTGGCCACATGCTGCTGGCCTTGGGAGGTAGGGTCTCCTGGGATTGGGAAGTGCCTGTTGCTTGTTGCTGTGGGAGAGAGAAGTGATGGTTAGAAATGAATCAGATCCACTTATGGGGGGAAAGCACAAGGCAGATGAGAGACTCTGATGTAGAGAGAACTGGGTTTTCCTTTATTTAGGTTGTTAGGAGGCTTTTGCACAATTAGAGGGGGGATGATGAAGCCATGTATCCATCACCTCACTGTTATCCAATCCTTTGGAAAAAGAGGAAAGTAAGATGAGAACTGCAAGTGCAAGAAATAGCCTCAGTTCCTTTCTGTAGCTGAGATACCACAACATCAAAGTGTCTGTATGGGAGGGAGGGATTAAATATACATCTGACTTTGTCACTGAGAATCCCTTGCTCCCAATTTATATTCTTTGTGCCTCTGCACATTGTCAAGTGTGCTGCAGACAGAACAGTATCAAAGAGGGCCCTTTTGGGAAAGAGGGCCTTCGTGCAAGGAAAAGCTGTGTGTTTGGGAAATGGTTTCCAATTTAGCACCAGGTTTTATACATGCTTTGAGACTGGAAATTCTCTTGTTTATGTTGTAGGTTACTTAGGAGGATTTGATGGAAACTTCCTATGGAACAGGATTGGAGCTGGTAAGAGTTGTTTTTAACTGTCTCATTCTTCAGAGAGAATAAGCAGAATTTCAGCAGCTGACAGATTCCTTTTGCTTGTCTAGTGGAAGTAACACTTTTCCAACACATTCACTTGTCTTTTTAAATAAGTCTTCTGCAGGTCTCTAGCACAAGTTAAAAGCATTATGAATTCATAGCACAGGCCTTGTAAATCAGCTAAACAGTTTAAGAAATAGAATATGGACAAATCAATGCAAGTAGGAGTTAGATTCCTCTAACAATCAGCAAATTCTCTATTGCTCTGTCCTTTCTGCAGTTGAGTCTCCAGACTGGTGGATTTCCTGTTTTCTGTTTCAGAATACAGCATGAATGTTCCTGTGTGGTCCCTGCGACTCCTGCCAGCCCTGGCTGGTGCTTTCTGTGTGCCTTTAGCCTACCAGATTTTGGTTGAACTGCACTTCTCTCACTGTGCTGCACTTGGAGCTGCTCTTCTGATTCTCTTAGGTAAGATTGTTCAACTGAGCCCTATTCTTCATACATGAGGAGAAGAGTCCCTTTTACCCTTAGGAATGTTTAGGGTGGAGTAGCATCTCCCCAGAAAACATCAACAGTCCTGGCCTGTGTCAGTCAGTGCTGAGCCTCCCTGGTCTCCTCCATCCTCACAGCTCTGCAGCAGGCTGCCCTTCTGGGCTTTATACAAGTTCATTTCAATATTAGGCAAAGTAGGCAGCCTTAACAGCCTCACAGGAAACCACATTTCTTGTATCCAAGGAGGCCTGTACTCCCTTCCGCCGAGGTTTACAGGGTGAATTACAACACACTGGCTTTTAACAGCAGGACAACTCAACTTGCAGTCAGAGCTCATCGAATTTCTTCAAGTCCAAACTGCAGCAAACCAGCCTGTGTCCTTAGCACTGTGATTTGACACTGTTCTGGTGTGTACAGCTCAGCTGGTTTTGTTTTCTCTGAGGGGCTGCTGGCAGCTGCCTGAATGGGAAACCTCTCCTAGCTACCAGCTTCTCTGATTCTGGCTCCCTTTCCTGCAGATCTGTTGTGGTGCTCATTGCTTGCTGCCTGGACTCTGCTTTGAAAAGCATCTCTCTGGATTTCCTAGGACTGATTTTCTTTGCCTTTGTAGGAAATGCAGCAGCTTTATCTGCCT